TCAACTCAAATAGCTCGAAATTTTTTTACTCGACTTGATTGAATGATCACCCCTAGTTGAGACAACACTTAAGTCTTTAGATCTCCACCCCTTCTTTAGACTTTATACCATTAATGCTAGTTAAAGATGGTAATTTAACCCGAATTCGACGGGTTCTGACCATACCTAACTTGATAGGGTCGGATTTTTTTAAAAGAAAAATTAGTTTCGAGTTAGGCTGGGTCGAATTTTTTTAAGGGGTGAGTTCATGTCGGGTTAGGGTGGAGGGTAAAAAACTCCGACCCAACCCGAGGATTTCCTTAAAATTTTTATTATTTTTAATTAATTCCTTATTTTATATCGGGTCGGGTTGGATTTATGCTCTTAAATCTGGGTCGGATCAGGTCAGAGTCGAGTGGATGGTATATATTTTTTCAGATCATGTAGGGTTAGGTAGATATATTTTAGGGGAATGGACTAAAAACTCGTTTCACTTGATCTGACCTTAAACCCTAACCTAACGTAAATATTGTTTTCTTATTTTTATTTGATAAAATAAGAAATTAATTGAAAAAATATATAAAAGAGATATTTTAGTAACTATCTCTAAATATACAAAGAGAAATCATAGTATTATCCTATGTTGGATCAGAAATTTTCATCCTAAATCCGAATCTAATCTAATTTGAACTCAAATTTTAAAAAATTAACCTTATTAATTTGGATAGAATCTAAACATATTAGAATCAAATAGTTTAACAAGCCAAATTATTTTTAAAAAAAATTATGAATTATGAATTGATTCAATTTGATCCAATTGGATTAAAATTGCAATAATTACTTCAGTTTTGATATATTTAGTAGCCCAAATAGGAGGCATGACAGCTTTAGGCCCCAAAAAGACTAGGGTTTACATTTTGACAGTTGTTAGGATGACAAATGATAGTTTTATTCTTTATCTTTTAATATTCATTTTATTTTTCTTGTATTATATCTATAATTAATTAAATGCTATACATTAATAAATTTATATTATAAATTATATTATTTTTTAATATCATATCATGTTTTGATTATTTTTATTTTAAATAATTATATTTTAAACGAGTCATAGACACGTAAGAATCTATATATATAATCTTATTCGGACATTTTGCCCTAAATTTAACAGACAACATGCGTTATAATCTCAACACCAAAAGTCCCCACACGTTGTTTGGGTCTTTGAAAACTGTCTTTTTCCTACCTGTTTACCAGCACGCCACCATTTTTCTCTCTCTCTTTGGATTCTTCTTTTTTCCCTCGTGTTTTAAATATTAAAATCTAATTTTAATATAATTAATTAGAAAATTATTTTGCTGGTAAAAAAATTTCACAAACAACACTAAATAGATGAAAATGTAGTAAAAAAAAGTAAAAAAATATATTAAAAAAACATAGGATAATATTTTATCATTACTTGTGAAATTAAACGTTTTTACCATAAATATATCAAATACTAATCCATTAAAAAACATGCACTTTTGAAAATGTGTTCAATGGAAATCTAATTCAACTTGGTTTGATTTAGCTTGAATTTTTTATTAATTAAAAGTATTTTTATATAAATTTAATTATAAAATGTAAAAATATATTTTATCATTATAAATTTAAGATGAAGAATACATGTCACAACATCATCTTAAATTATGATATCAACGAGTAACAAGTTTACCACTCCAACTTCTACGATATAATTTAATTTTAGAATAAATAAAATAGAAGGCTAAAATTATTCCCTTATTTTTTATGTGAATATCTTCTCATTTACTACTGTTAATCTCAATAGTATATTTTCATTTTTTCAACAACAACAACAATAAAAACAACAAAACCCTATTCTCATATGCAATGGGATAAGGGGGAGGTAGGGTAGTAGGCTGCCCCCAAACGCCAGGTTGAGAGCAACTTCCGTGGAAGACCTCCGGCAGTAAGAAAATTAAAAAAAATAAAGATAAAATACAATGCATGTATAAATAAATAAATACATAATTGAACAATCTTCACATGCGCGTCTGTAATGGGAAGTAATCCCTGCAAATAAATCTCTGCGTAAAAATATCTGCATATAGACAGAAACGTAAGTCCGGGCTAAATTTAAAAAGAGGAAACATGAAGAGAAGGATACACAATAATCCGCGATAGCAAGTTACGAGAATGAATAAAGTCAAATGGGTTAGAACCTAAACTAAGGCAACAATACTCCGCTACAATAGTTCTAAGCCTTCATAAATTCCAATGACAGAAACGTATAAAAAGTAGAAGTCATGGAAATTACTACAAAGACATTAAAAAGAAGACAGAGATGTTATACCCTATTATTGTGACCCACACTACTCGGGTACCCTGGTCTTAAGTCTACATACTTTCCTGCCAGAGGTCATGTCCTCAGTAAGGGCTAAATCCTTCAAATCAGATCTCAACCAGTCTACCCACTTCCTCCTTGGTCATCCTCTCCTTCTGGAACCGTCGGCTGTAATCAACTCTACCCTCCTGACCGCATCCGACGGTTGTCGCCTAAGGACATGCCCAAACCACCGTAGTCTTCTCTCCCTCAACTTTTCAGATACATGCACCACCCCCAAATACATCCTAATTGCAGAATTTGGTGTCATGTCCCACAGAGTCCTACCACATGCCCATCGAAGCATTCTCATTTCTGCGGCCTCCATTCACCCAGTGAATATCTTCTCATTTTCTAATGTTAATTTCAACCATCTATTTTCACCCATCCAACTGTCCTAAATCTGTATAAAACTATATATATATATATATATATATATATATATATAATACTAAGATCTAAAATAGATTCTCAAAAATCAAATAGTATCTTCAACAGTGATGCTATGGTCCATGTTTACATCACATTTATGTTGCTAATGTTATAAGGTCAAGTTCTGTATATTTTTTTTCTAAGTTCAAAGATTTTGGTAATATTAAATGGTAGATTCTTGCTGACAATTTCATTTTTTGTCATTTTATTTCTCGATTTTAACAATGAATCTTGTTTTGGTGATATGTGTGACTTTTGTTGTCAAAATTTATAATTTATGGTTAATTATGATAGATATCACTGAAATTTAAGCGATGTATTGCTTATACTATTAAACTTTAAAAAACTTCAATTATAATATTGAATATTGATTTTGGGTTCAATGTAAACATTGAACCGTTAAATCATGAACGACATATCTTTATTTTTTTTACTACTAATACTTTAGTTTGTGTATCAATTTAGCCACTGTCGATCTATCATCATATATCAGTAGTCATCTTTCGCAACGATGTCAATATCGAAATATTTGCATTTCACTCATGTTTTTCTCTTCGAATTAATTGTTCACGAAACCTACTCCAAGTTGACAAAAATTCATCTAATGATTCGATGATTTAATGTTCTAATATCTTTCGATGATTGTCCGATAAGACTAGTTTCAGATATATTATTCATATTAATTCTCGAAAGAACACTTTTATCCTTTCAGATTTTCGAACAAACCCTTCAAATAAGAGAAACCCCCTAACTAAAGCATTAAAAAAACCTTTATATTATTTTTTGTTGATTTTAAGTAGGTTTCATGAAAAATCAATTTGATGATAAAAGATAAGTGAAATACAAATGTTTTGGTATCGATATTGTCTCGAATAATGATAGATGATGGGCACCATTTGACTGATAGTAGCCAAATTAATACAGAAATTAAAGTTTAATGTTTAAAATTAAAACATTTTAAAATTTAATGACAAAATTGATATGCAAACTAAAGTGTCACGTCAATACATGTCGATATCAAACTTTCATATCATTCTATTTTTAATGGTTTAATGGCTCATTGCTTACAATGAACATATATAAAATCAAATTTGAACGTTATAATTGAAGCTTTTAAAAGTTTAGTGCTATGAATGGTATACCGACTAGAGTTTAGTGGTATATGATGTAGTTAAACCTAAAATTTAAATGATGTATGTATCCCTTTGACTTAGAACAGCTAAAGAGATGACAATAGAGAGAAAAAACATTCATCCTATCTACAAATTAACTATAAAATCTTTGTTAGAAATAATGTTAGTGTATTAGTTGGATTAGGGAATCGACAAAAAGAATTCAATAATATAAAAAAAATCACATATATTTATACAATTTTTTAGGGTAAAGTACACAAATGGTCCTTCAATTATAGTATATTACTTTATTAAGTTCCTCGACTATTAAAAGTTATAAAATAGTTCTTCGACTATAGAATGTTACTTTGTTAAGTCCCTCGACTATTAAAAGTTACAAAATGGTCACCCAACTATTAAAAAATTGACGATTGTTTAAGTTGGACGTTAACATGATGACTAGGATATGATAGTCGTTGAGATTTTGGGATCGAGATTTATTATATCATAGTCAACAAATTAACATTCAGCTCAGAATATCGTTTATTTTTAGCAGAAAAGGGCGATTGTTTAAGCTGGAAGTTAACATGATGACTAAGATATGATAGTCACTTGAAATTCTAGGATCGGATTTTATCATATCAAAGTCAACAGACTAACATTCAGGTAAGAATACCATCATTTTTTAGCGTAAAAAGACGAGTTTAGAACATAACGAATAGTCGGGTGACCATTTTGTAACTTGTAATGGTAGAGGGACTCAACAAAGCAACACTCTATAGTTAGAGGACCATTTTGTAATTTTTAATAGTGGAGGGACTTAATAAAGCGGTATCTTATAGTTGGGGACCATTTGTGTATTTTATTCTTTTTTAATTGTCTAAATGATTATAAGATAATGTCTATTCATAATATTTTTTAATCATTGACAATATACATACCTGCGCAAACCACTTAAACCATTGAAACTATTGAATGGATTCTATTCATACAAATAAGAGCTTTGATTATCATCATTTCAAATCAACTAGAGCTCAACATAAAAACTACCATACAGATATTCATACAAATTATTAAATTGCTGCTGAATTATCACTGATAAGATTTCCCAACAGGAAACCCTAGCGTCGATGATTATTACAAGTACATAAAAGGGGGCATATCAACTATTCCATGATCAAAGGTCCAAAATGGTTGCTCTGGTAGAGTGTAGAGTTGATCAGCAAAAACATAATCATCATCATCATTAAACATCATGTTCGAGTTCGCCCAACAATAATTGTCGTGATTAAGGTTCTCGTTTACAGGTAATGGCAGCTGCATTAATGGCGGTGGCTGTTCGAAACCAAACTTCGGCTGCATGGGAGTTATGTTCGTGGAAATGGAGCTGCTGCTGCCGCCGCCGCCATCTTCGGCTTCAAAACTTGATAATGGAGGAGTTGTATTGTTTCTGCATGTGTTCTCCATTGATGTCATGACTTCTTTAAGGTTGTCTTTTCCTTTGTACTTAATCTTACACAATCTCCAATCCTATACCAAATGATAGAAAAGGGTAAATTACGTGTTTAGTACCTAAACTATCAGTTTTGGTCCATTTTAGCACCTAAATTTTCAATTGTTTCAAAATTATATACCTAAAGTTTAGTTATGTTTCATTTTAATACCCCATTTCAAAATTTAACAATAAATTTTGAAAAATATTGAAATTTTAGGTACTAAAATAGATCAAAACTGATAGTTTAGGTACATACTAAACACGTTAAGTTTTTAATGACAATGTACTAAAATGAAACAAATCTAAACTATAGATATGATTTTAAAAAAAATGAAAGTTTAGGTATTAAAATGGACCATAACTGTTAATTTAGATAATAAATACATAGTTTACCCTAGAAAAAAAGATATTCATTAATATAAGTAACCTTTGTTTAGATTAAGTCAAATGTATGAAAATCGAGTTAAATCAAATTAATTTTTTAAATCGAATCGAGATTTACTCACTCTTAAATCTGAAAGAAGAAGAAATGTACCGATGGAATAGATTGAAGGCCGTATTCGTGCATGATCCAATCCGTTTTAATGGCGGCTTTTCGATTTCTCTGGTAATCATCCTTAAACCTATGGAAAGTTAAAGGCCTTTTATAACCCATCAGTTCCCCATTAGTCGATGAAATCGCCTTTACATGACTCGTTGCTTTCCACCATCCTCGACCCATCACTTCCCTCGAATCACTCTCCCTTTTGCAATAATAATACCTCTCATTCTTGTTCAATCGCACACTAATCTCACTCCCTGCAAAAAAACGTTAAAAATATTCACATACACACGTGTGTGTGTGTGTATATATATTCTCGGTTTTTGGTTTGGTACGATGAATGCATGTTCCACGAAACACGGGATTTTGTTCCATGTAACATGGATGCAACTGATGAAGAAAACAACATAGAAAAACCAGAACAAAAGGAAGAATGAGTGGGGGGAAATGTCTAACAGTCGAGATCTTTCGGGTCGAAATCGTATAGATTTCTTTCAACGATGAAATCGAACGATGTCGTGGCAGTGTTTCCCGACACTTTGTGGTGCAGGATTTCGATGACCTCTTCGTCCGTGGGACAGAATCTGAAACCAGTAGGAACCATCTTCTTCTTTGAACTATATCTGATATGTCTGAAATGGTGGAAGCTTCTTTATATATAAGGATCAAGGAAGAAATAACGTAAGAAGACAAATTGACTTGAAGGATAGAGAAGACTTTAACATTATGATTTTTCATTTTAAGTCATGTTTTTATTATATAGTTTATATATGCATCCATTGATCTTATATGTGAAATGAATGATCGTATATTGTTGTTTAGGGTTGACTCAAGTCATCGTCATGCATGAAATCAATTAGGGTTTGAACTAAACAATAAAGTGAGTGAGTTATCTGAGAGTACATCAAACTCATACTCCAGTCGAATAAAATTGTATTATATTCGGTTTGAGAGCATAACTCACCATTGATTCTTATTTTTATTACGATGTATTTATAAATTTATCTCACTGATCGTAATATTATTTTTTATGTCATATCATATTTTTCATCATTTTCTCGTTTTAAATAATTATATCTTTGATGAGTGAACAGATGGTTTATATGATTTTTCCAGATATTCTGCCCCACATTTAACAGACAACATGCATTGTAATCTCAACACAAAGTCCCCACACGTTGTTTTTGGTCTTTGAAACTGTTTCTTTCTACGAATTTGCCAGCACGCCACCATTTTCCTACCTTCTCTTTGGACAAATTCAATATTTTTTACCAGTTTTTAACGTTAAAATCTACCTCTAATATATTTAAATAAGAAAAAAGATATTTTTGGAAAGTAATTGGGAGACTCTTTAGTCTTTTATCTTTCCGGTTGATTTCCATATATATATATATATACACGAGTTAGGATCGTTGGATTATGAAAAATTAAATGTTGAGATTAATAATAGAAAATAAAAAGATATTCGCTATAATAAAACAATGAGTTAATCTAAGTATTTGATTTCCCTCATCCAACGATCTTAAAAAGATGTAAAATTAAAAATTTTACACTAGGTGTAAAAGTATCCTAACCTTATATATACACAAACACGAGCGAAATCAGGATTAAACTATGAGGAGGGGAAACAGGAATTTAAATACCGGTTCGTTATCGGAATAGCGGCCGTTATATAGAGATAGAGATGTCATTTGAAATCGTGATCGTGCAATCGTGATACCCGTAATATCATCCGCTATTGCCATAATCGCGATGAACGCAAAGTAATCGAAAACATTACCGTAACTATAATTTAAATCTTTGGGGCAAATTGTTTAATTTTAAATTAGCAAGATCTTAAAAAGTAATTATAGCATAAAAAATTAAGAGATTGATGGTATAATTCTACCAAATTTAAAAATCATAAATCATGTCTTAAAAAATAATTAAATCATATAAATTTTGGGTAAGACTTAATTCTATTAATTTTAAAATTTAAAACTGACGATATCCCAAAAGTAATCATATATATCATGCAGATATAGTTGCTCCAACTCAATATCTATAGAGAGAACGTTATTCTTTTCTAATACTGAGATCACTTAATGGGTTTTTATCATCTATCAGTTTGTTTAATGAAATAATATGTTAGATCCTTTTAAACAAATTTAAGGGTTAAGATGTCGATATTATAAATCAGACAAATTAAACTGAAAGACCGTTCCATAATGAATCTCTATGACTCCTAATACAAATCAATCAATTAATGAATTGAATCCAGATATTCAACTGACTTTAAAAGTGTAAAATTTGGGATATCAAAGTTACATCCATGGAGATTTGTCTCTCATTTTGCCAGCTGTTAAGGTTTTGTTCCGCGTGCATCATTGCATGGGACAATGATGCTAGGATCTAAAATTGATTCTCAAAAATCAAATAGTATCTTCAATAAATCTATATTTGTTGACCATTGAAGACAAATATTTATGAAAATTGGGATTTGGATCATAGTTCTCTGTCTTTGGTTCTTTTGTTAGCTAAGATAATGATGCCGTGGTCCAACTTTGGACCACACTTGTTAATGTTATAAAGTCATGTTGTGTTTTTCCAAGTTCAAAGATTTTGGTAATATTCAAGACAAGATTCTCGTTCATAATTTCGTATGTTTTGGTGATATTTTGTTTCGTAATTTAAACTATGAAATCCCATTTTGATTTGTTCTCACAATTAAAATGATTTACTCCTTTGACTTGGAAAGGTTAACGTTGTGAGTAGTGGACATATTCTTTTTATCTATATTTATTATAATCTTTTATCAGAATAATATTATGAGAATTATGTCAGATTTAGATTAATGACCCGCCAATAAAATAATCAAAATATAATGATATTATTAATTTGAAAATTAATTTAAAATTGGAGTCATAATTTTAAAATTTAAAGATTGATTTAAAATAGAATCATAATTTTAAAACATCTTCTACAATTAATTCATTTTAAATCAATTATTTTGTAGTCAAGAAATTTACTCAAACAAAATACGAAAATGAAGATGATTAATTTTAAGATGTTAAATGGGTTTGGTGTTTTTTTAATTAATCAGTATCTGATCTATTGATCAATTAATCAAATCAAGTATTGTAGAGGCGGGGACGAGTGGACGACCCTCTCAACCTAGTTTGTTCCATTCGTAAACGCCGGGGTTCGAGCCCCTGACCTTACGATCTAATATCTCATCCCACTAGACCAATAAATTATTGATATATGGGTTTGGTGTTTTTAATAGTACTTAGACATGATATAAAAAAAAAACTCTTAAAATTTGATTTAATCGTTATTTTGACTCTTAATTTTTTTAATGTACTATAACCTTCTATATTTTATTTTTGGTCAAAATAACTCTTCTACATATTAAAATCATTAATCAATTGACAATCAATATCTCGAGAGGACGTCATAAATCTTTGTGACAACACATATTAAACGCACACAAGCAAATTATAGTTTGAATAATCAAAGCGCAATCAAATGTTCACACATTACAAATTGAAACATGGTTTCCTTACATTTAAACTTCAAATACAAAAGCACAGTTTGGATAATAAAACACAACAAGCATTACAAGTAAAGCTGTCGGGACCATTGTCTGTTTCCCCCTAAAGGGAATCGATAAAGTGAAGCAGTAGTAAAATGAAGCCGAGCGATAACAAGCACCCATCACAACATTTATTATTATATTCACTTACTTTATCACTTAACATTACATAGTGAATATGGTTAAAATGTTGAACAGATATTCAAGAGGTTCATTTTCTTCGTTCTCTAGTATAATTAGGGTCGTATCTGGGTCTGGGCAGGAGGGACACATAAATTTTTCTAATATTTTATATTTGTAAAAAATAATTTTATAATAGTTATAAGGTCCAATTATTTTTAATATTTGTTATAAAGGTTAAATTTTCCCAATATTTATTATTGTGGGTTTAATTTTTTTCTAATATTTATTATTAGAGTCGGGGTTACTCTTATAATTTATTTTCGCTAATATTTGTATAAGTGTCTCATTTTTTACCAATATTTTTTGTAACATTTGTTATTAAAGGCTTAATTTTTTCAATATTTATTATCAGAAATCCAATTTTTTAACTTATGTTATTAGGGGCGTACCTTTAAAATTCAATTTCTTTTCTAATATTTATTTTTTTCTTATGAGTCCAATTTTTCAGTATTTTTATTAAATATTCATTTTTTCAAAATTTGTTATTATGATTATACTCTTAAAATTTATTTTTTTATATTTGTTGTTAGAGACCCATTTTTTCAATACTTGTTATTATGGAGTTACCCTTAAAATTTATTTTTTCCACACTTGTTATTAGGAACAATTATTTAAATAACGATATGTGACCACAATAATGACCGTGATGCAGTGATAATGATATCGTCCAAAACTGCGATATCCATAATTTTTATGCTACAATAGCATATGTTACTAAAAATTCACAATCCACTTGCAGTGACCGCAATATCATTTGTTATGTCCGCAATAACGATAAATACAACGCAATCAAAAGACACAAATGCAAATTGTAATTTAAATTCTTAATTAGGCGTCCGATTTTTCGATTAACCCAAGGACCACTAAAATCTTAGAAACGGGCGATGACTATAACATATGAATCAATATCTTTCAGTATAAACGGTCAACGGTCAAGTTCAGTCAATGGTCCAGTTCAAATGGACCGGTCTGATTGAGCTGATCCAGGAGTTGGATCGTTTTGGATTTGGGCTGAGTGGGTCAAACGAGTCGAGCAGGCGGGTTGGATCGAATACAGGTCAGTGGGTCAGGTTGACCCGCCTCTAGAAGCACACCAGGGCGGTAGACGTTCTTTACTCGTAGTGACAGCACATGGGGCACATGCGGCAGTTTAAACGAATGAAAAAACACGAAAAAAATTCTAAAAATAATTTAGAGCATTTTAAATCACTTACAAGGCTTGGTTTACCACAGTGAACAACGGAGAGCTCGATTACCCTTTGATAGAATTTCAATTCACCTCACCCCTTCACATGCCGGCAACAACAGCAACAAGACAACCACCATTGGACTTAGAACGACACCACAAACAAGATGGTAAGGACGGTGTAGCAAATGGAGGTACAATTTATGGTAAAGCAACGATTGAAGTTCTTGGGTAATAATTTCTAAAAAAGGAAATTGAGAGAGAGAGAGAGGTTTTACAACTTTCCAGAAATAGGCAATTCTAGGTTTTGGGGTAATTAACCCAACCTAAAAGGAAATGGTAAAATCATACATGTGGTCTCTAAGATTTGGTTATTTTTTTATTTGGACCCAAATTTAGTTAAATTTTCATTTTGGTCCTTGAATTTCACTGAATTTTCAATGTAGTCCCTAAAATAAATTAAGAGAAAATTTTAGCCCCGAAATTGGGGTGTAAAAGAAAATGTTATGAACAATGTGTGCAACCAAAAATGTTACAAAAAAAGTTAACATTTTAGGTTGCGTCAAACCGGAAGTTAACATTTTCTGTTACATCCCTTCCCTACAGTTCTTTAGTCTTAAATTAGGTTGTCGTCCCTTAGACATTCCCGTTATTTTGATTA